GTGGATCCTGATGCAAAAATTCTCAATAAAATAGTATCAAATAAAGTCCAGCAATACATCAACAAGATTATCTACCCAAGGTAGAATTTATTGCAGGGATGCAGATTTACATATGTAAATCAATAAATGTGTTATTTAAAATCAACAAAATGAAAGATAAAGCCGTATGATTATCTCAATAGATGCAGATAAACATTTGACAAAATATGACATCCTTTCGTGATAAAAATCTTTAAAAATTGGGTATAGAAGAAACACACCTTGACACAATCAAAGCAATATATGACTAAACCACAGGCAGCATCATATTGAATGGAGAAAAGCTGGGAGAAATTCCACTAAATCTGGAGCTAATGACAACCATTTTCACCATTATTTTCAATATACTTCTGGAAGTTTTAGTCAGAGACATCAGGCAAGAAAAAAAATCAAAGTGATAAGGAGGAAGTACAATAATCCCTGTTTGCAGTTGATATAATTCTTTATATAGAGAAACCAAAAGACTATTAGAAGGGCTGGCAGTGTGGTGTAGCAGGTAAAGCCAAAACCCAAAGTGCTGGCATCCCAGATGGGCTCTGATTCGAGTCTTGGCTGTTCTACTTCCAATCCAGCTCTCTACTATTGCCTGGAAAAGCAGTAGAAGACAGCCCAAGTCCTTGGGCCCCTGTACCTATATGGGAGGCCTAGAAGAAACTCTGGCTCTTGGCTTCAGATCAGCACAGCTCTGGCTGTTGTGGCCATTTGGAGAGTCAACCAGCAGATGGAAGACCTCTCTCTGTCTCTCCCTCTCATTATTTATAAATCTACATCCCAAACAAGTAAATACAGTCTTAAAAAAAGAAAAAGAAATAAAAGACACAAAAATTGGGAAAATATCACATGTTCATAGATTGGAAAAATTAATATCAAAATATCATACTACCCCAAGTGATTGATAGATTCAAAGCAATCCCAATCAAGACACCAAGGACATTCTTCACAATTATAAAAAACATGATCCTAAAATTCATATGGAAAAATAGAAGACCCCAAATGCTTAAAGCAATCTTAAATAAAAATGAAGCTTGAGGCATCACAATACCAGATTTCAAGGCATACTAGAGGGCTGTTATTATTAAAACAGCCTGGTCTGGAACAAAAAAAGACATGTTGACCAATGAGACAGAAGAGAAACCCCAGAAATGAACTCACATATTGGCAACCAATTAATATTTGACAAGGGAAATAAAATCACTCCCTAGACAGAAAGATAGTTTGAAAAATGAAAGAGGAAGCTATTTTGGAGAAGAATTTTGTGTTCAGAACAATACTACTGACAGGTTACATAAAATGACATTGAAGAAATGACCTCTAATTTTATAGAAATAAGTGTTAACTTGGAGAGAACAAGCTTTGATAGGATCCTGGGATTGGAAATTACTGGAGTAAAGGGAGGTGATATTTAAGGCAGTGAGTAAAGGTATTCCTGCTGAGTGACATAGTCATACATGATCAAATTTTCCTTCATCTGTGTTTTCTAATCCTTAAATAATAATTATGAATTATATTTGCAACAGTTCACAGTTTTTAAACTGTGAAATGAATATGTAGCACTAAAAGGCAGACCAAGGCACTAAATGATACATTTCTAAAGTTAGAGAAAAAAAGAACCTCTTGACAATTCCCATATATGTAGTATGTGTACTAGTTATCATTTTGTTTAGACTTCTAATACCACAGAAAGATTGAAAAATCTCAAAGGCTTGGTACACATCATATAATTCTATACTAGTCAAAGATAAAAGTTCTTAATCATAACAAATTTTGAATTGTTTATAAGAGGAAAATGTAAAAAGTAACCTATTTTGTAATTAAAGTTTTGAAATTTTATTTCAACTCCCTCTTGAAAAATGCTGTGTTGCACACATTGTTGTCTTTGAAATGGGTAATGGCATGCATGCACGGTATTCTGAACAGGAAGATTCACTGCATTAGCAGTTCTTGTGGGCCAAATTCAGCTCCTCGCTGTTTTTGTAAATAAATTTTTGTTGGAATACAACCACATCTATTTACTTATAGCCTATACATATTTTAGGCAACAACAGAGATATTATGGTTCATAAAGCATAAGGTATTTACTTTCTGGCTCTTTACAAAAAGGTTTGCCAGAACTAGGCTTAGAAGATCAAAGACCCTTTGATATGTTTTAAAAGGTTTTATCCATCATTCAGAAATGTTACAGAGTATGGAACATTGTACACAATCCCTCAACAATAGTCACAATAATTTGAGTGTCTATCATTTGAGCATTAATGCACTGGGAGCCAAACCCAAAAATCTCATGATTAGTCACTTTTTACAAACAGATCAGAAAGCCAGAGTAGCATGGGGCTTTTCTTTGTACATCAATAGATATCTCAAATATTAACTAAATTTATTAAGATGTGTCATCAAACCAAAGGCTTTAAATATATGGTAATGGTGTAATAATCAGTATACTATAGATCTATCCTCATTGTGAAAATGAATGCATTATACATTATTTTATTGATTGGCTATTAGACTACCTCCAACTTAATGATTTTGCAGTATCCTTAATGTTCTTAGTTACACATGTAATATATGTATGAGATATTTTAAGCAATGTAGGCCTTTTTATATTACATATATTGTCCCATTATGTTATATGTAATACATTATAAATGGCTTTAACATAGATGTGAATATTAATGCATAATATTTCTTATTTTCTTTAGGATCAAATTCGAGGGAAATAGTTACAAGGTAGAAAGGATGATATATTTCAAATTTGAGCATATCTTACTAATGCACCCATTTAATTTACCAACAGTGTATGAAAATAAACTTCTTCATGTTTGTCAACCCAGTTATTGTTTTTCAATAAAGCATGATCATTATGACCAATATCATTATCAATATGAAAAAATGATAACTGATTAATAATTAATTTTTGGTCATCTGTATGTTTTTATTAAAGTTTGTTTATTTGAAAGATACAGAGAGAGAGAGGGAGAGACAGAGAGAGAGCTTCCACCCACTTTTTCACTCCTCTGATGGCTGCACTGGTTAGAGCTGGGCCTGGCTGAAGCCAGGAGTCAAGATCTCCTTCAGAATGAGTGGCTGCCACATGGGTGGCAGGGGCCCAATCACTGGAATCATCTTTTATTGTTTTCCTTAGCCATTATCAAGGAGCTGAATCAGCAGTGGAGTAGTCAGGGGGCAGGGGATATGGCATAGGAGGTTATGTCTCCACCTGTAGGACAGACATCTCATATGGGCACCAGTTCAATTCCTGGCTGCTTCACTTCCCATCCAGTTCTCTGCTGATGACCAGAAAAGGCAATGAAAGATGGCCCATGTGCTTGGGCCCCTGCACACACTTGGGAGACCCAGAGGAAGATCTTAGATCCTAGCTTGGGATCATCCCAATTCTGACCATTGTGGCCATTTGGGGAATGAACCAGTGGACAAAAGGCCTCTCTCTCTGTAACTCTGCCTCTTAAATAAATAAATACATCTTGGCTGGCATCGTGGCTCACTAGCCTAATCCTCCACCTTGCGGCGCTGGCACACCGGGTTCTAGTCCCAGTTGGGGCACGGATTCTGTCCCGGTTGCCTCTCTTCCAGGCCAGCTCCTGGCTCCTGGCTTTGGATCAGCGCCGTGCACTGGCTGCCGTGTGCCAGCCGTGGCAGCCATTGGAGGGTGAACCAACAGCAAAAGGAAGACCTTTCTCTCTGTCTCTCTCTCTCACTGTCCACTCTGCCTGTCAAAAAAATAAAAAAATAAAATAAAATAAAATAAATAAATCTTAAAAATATGTAGAAAAAAGAACTGGGGCAGCCAGGATACAAACTGGCACCCATATGCATTGCAGATATCATAGATGGTGGCTTTGCTATGACACTAAGTTGACCTCTCCTTTATGTTTTTATTTTTAACAATTTAAACCTCTTTAAATTGTGAACTTCATAGTACAAACTACAAACGTCTTTAGATGTTTTCACATGTTTGTTCTGGCTTAACTTGCAGCTTGCATGTAGCAAATTTTAATTCTTAAAACTTGAGAGCCATAATGAAATAGATCTGCTATGACCTTTTTTATGAAATGAATTTTTCATTCCATAAACTCCACATTTTTCAGGATTTTTACAACTGTTGTTAACCTGTTTATATTTTCATAGTATGAAATCATTGGTGTTCAATATTTGCTTTTCTTGAGTTCAAACCTAAATATTTGGAGAAAGATAATTTATTATGGCAAATTAGGTACAGTTTTTATGCTTGAGATATTTATGTGTGTTATGTGTATTCTAAATAGTACAGCTTCATGCCTCCTGCTTTTGAAGCAGTGTATGGTGAGCACTTGAGAGAGACTATTAAGTGTTTGAATGTATATTTTAATATAAATATGTAACTTCCATTTCACTCCATGTAGCTAAGTGATAATTCACATGTGTGGTTATCCTATTGATAGTGGGCTTTATAATTCTTTGAACCATTCATAAATAATAAATTTGTACTTCTCCATATTACTAATGCTTACTTCTCTTATAGTTACTCCTGTTTTGTAAACACCAAACACATAAACTGTTTTCTTGTTGCTTTAATTTTACATTCTTATGTAACATTTGATGCATACAAAAGAGTACAGTTGATATGTTGAGATATAAAGCACAACAAGTTAGCACCCTGAACCCATCACTTGAGATCAGCACTGTATTTGCTTTGGCCAACTGCTTGTTCTCTTATTACATATAATATGTATATACATATATAAAATATAATTCATGTATATAAATTTATGTGTGTAAATATATGTGTATAAATAAAACATACCATATATATGCATATAAGTATATTTATGTAATATATATAAAACCTTATTGCATTGGGAAAAAAATTTCTTAACATTGATTTTCTGTTTATTTCTATTTTACTAAGCTGGCATGGAAAGGGGTCTCAGTATTTATCCATTCCTCCCTTTATTGGCCCTTACCAGGAGCGATGTATTTGTAAAGCAAAAGCTGCATTCTCACTTGCAAACATAAAATGAAGCATGAAAGGAATCTTTTCTGTAATGGAAACAAGTCTGGGAGACATCTGCTGGAAAGGAATGAAAAGCACAAGTGAGTTCCATCTCTTACAGAATCCGGTGGGTTTTACCACTTGAAATGCTCAGTTTTCATGAACTTACAATGTCAGCCACAAACAAATGAGAACATCAGCCACAACACCCATTTTATACTATATCAATTTGTGCGGGACGGAAATTTCAAAGTGTATTTTTGTCAAAACAAAGTTGCTACCAAAATTGTTCTTCAACATCTAAAAAGGAAACCATCTAAAATCTTGAATTGTGTGTTTAAAATAAATATTTGGGTGAATTTTTACAATCTGCATTTCAGTTACTCTGGGCAAGTATAATAAATCCCTGTAATTCCATAGCACATGGTTTCAGATCAACACAAAACCAGAAAATCAAACAGCCATGTACACATCAGTAAATCCATTCAAGAAAATGGCCAGGCATGGAGCAGGGAGACACCAGGACCCTGTCTTGCAACACAGACTTGGGCACATAGGAAAATCTGTAGGCAGGGTCTGGCAAGATGAGGCATCCCCCAGCTGCAGGGACCTGCTGGGAGGCCCAGATACCACGGCAGCCCTGAGAGTTGTTGCATCTAATCTCAGAGCCTGGACCACACTGCTGACCTTGGTGCCTCAGCTCCAGCCTCTGAGGTGGCTGGCCCACAAGGTGGCTGACAGTCCAGGGTGCGTCCTGTGTTCCCCAGGCCAACCCACCTCCCAAAGCCAATGTACCACTGAAGCCCAACCCTGCATGGGGCTTCACTTTGATGTGGCCAAGAGGAGAGGGCCTCTGTGCACCCAGCACCACCCAGAATGTGAAAATCTCAGAGCCACTTTGCAGATCCACCTCTAATCATGGCTTTGCTGCCAAGATCCACAGGCAGTGGCCAGAAACCACAAACCTGACCAGAGGCACAAATGCCCTCTGACCCAAGCCCTGGAGCTGGGTAGAGGGCAAGGAGAGGAACCTCTGAGTGCTGCTGGCCACGCTGCCCAAGCTGCCCATGCTACAGTGGAACTGGGCAGGCAGCCCCTGGGTGCTGTGACTACATGAGAGGCGGGGAAGAAGCAGTGGTGCTGCATCCTGCTGGTTATGAGCTGGACATGGCCACGGGGCAGCTGAAGGAGCCACTGGTCAGAGAGCTCTGCAATACCTGGTGAGAGTTCCAGAACCAGAGCACCTGGCCCCTCTTCCAGGCTGATAATGGTGGTGAGTGCACCAGGCTCTGGAGGCTGAGGGCTGCCAGTCTGAGTGTGGCACTGCCAGCAGCAGGGCTTTTGAGTGTCCTTCCCTCCATCAGCCAAGGACTCAAGGAGAAAGCATTCACACTCGTGTGTGTTGTCCTATTTTCCTTTTCCCTGCCCCAAGCAGAGGTGCGGGTTGCTCTCTTCACTTCTCAAGCTAGGGATCACCCCCTTCTGGGGGCCCCTCACCACCCAGGGTGTAATGTGCCTCATGACCATCAACATATCACTGAATGGTTTTCTTATGGAAAAGCTGCAGGAGCCCAAGGAGAAGCAGACAGGCTTTCTTTTAAGGATTTCAAAAGGTAGATTTGGTTTGTCATGTTCTTGCAGTAGCTGATCATCTTCCTATATCTTGGTTGAAAGAAATATCAGAGTTGGCATTAACTGAAAAATGCAAATATTTTTAAACTAAAAGATTAGTATGCTTCAGGGATAGCTGTTTTATTGATTTCATGTTATCATAGTAAAATATATCTTCTTTTAAACACAAAAAAATCAAAAGCCTTTCAATGATGGCATGCCATCATTTGCTAGCACATCCTAATCTCAGAAATATATGAAAAGTTCACATCTTAGACTGGAAAATGTTAATTTGTATTGAAATGTCATGAAACTTTGAATAATAAGAATGATGTAATATTTATGGGGATTTTAAGCTTGAGTGTTTGAAAGTGGAATGTTTTTGCTTGTTCTGAGTTTGGCTATGACTCTGGTTTTAATTATCCATGTGCTATTGTTTGCTGGAGTTTATATGTAATTCTTTCATTAATATATTTCAACAAACCATGCTTTTTTCTCCCAAACTTTTCGCTACTCATTGTTTCCATTAGTTTCATTCCTATTCTTTATGATCCATTTTTTTTTCACTGATCCAGTTTTACTCTGTAGGTCATATTTCCCCCACTTTTATACTCTCAATCACTATGCTAGTTGCGGTAACAATTTTCCATCCCTTTTGTGTGTTGTCACAGTAATTCTTAAATAGTATTTCTCTCTTCTGATTTCTAAAAAAATTAACTGTCTTCTCTGTTTAAATATTTTTAATCATTTATGTTATACAAAGGTTAAAATTCCTTAAAATGCCATGAGGTTTTTTATTTTCTAATTTTATATTTGCTCTATTTCATTGTTATTTCAGGAACTGTGAAGGGAGTGCATGGCAATTTTTTTCGAATTATTATTTTCTGGGATTTTGTCTTAGCTCCGGTGTCTTATTGACTCACTTTTCTTGACCACTTGTGTATCTTCTCCTTAGTTATCAAAGATAGCAATAGCCTTGATCTCTTTTTAAGCAAGAAAAGAAAAGCATTAAAAGACAGAGCATGTAGTTCACTTGGTCAGATGACCACCTCTGGTTTGTCTTGGTCTTTGTGTACAATTCTCTTTGCTCATTAATTTTTCATCTTCCCAGAACTCAGCAAAAGAGTGATTCCATAACCATGTTCCTGTATTGATTGGGACTCAGAGTAAGGAAGAAGAGAAGTGGAGGGGTTCAAGAAGCTAATGTTAAATGCTGTGTAGGTAAAAGATGCTGGGAAGTTCTCTAACCAAGCAGATTATTCCATATGTAAGGTTATAGGGATTGTAAGTAACTGTGGAATACTTTGCACAATATATCAAGTTCTGTACTATCATGATCAGTGTAAGATGTAAAAGCATTTATTTTCTGTGTGTCTGTATGTAAATAATTTCTGATAGATTAATTAACATTCATATATTTTATAGAATTACTTCATCAATTTATTTTAAAGAAGCATCATTTTTGGGGCCAGCGCTGTGGCTCAGTGGGTTGACACCCTGGCCTGGAGCACCGGCATCCCATGTGTGCACTGGTTCTAGTCCCAGCTGCTCTTCTTCCGGTCTGACTCTCTGCTGTGGCCTGGGATGGCAGTGGAGGATGGCTCAAGTCCTTGGGCCCCTGTACCCATGTGGGAGACCTGGAGGAGGCTCCTGGCTCTTGGCTTTGGATTGGCATAGCACCGGCCATTGCAGTCATGTAGGGAGTGAGCCAGTGGATGGAAGACCTCTTTCTCTCTGTCTCTACGTCTGTCTGTGGCTCTGTCTTTCAAATAAACAGAATAAATCTTAAAAAAAAGAAACATCATTTTCACTTGTATGGAAAGGGGAATAACTGTTGTACAGTGAAAAGGAAATTCATTCATCAATGAAACATAAAAATATTCAGAAATCATTTACTGGAATATTGTATGTTGTTATGTGTTTGATTATAGATGACACAAATACACCGTCTATATTCTGTTTTGCTTAAAATTTCTGCATGTGTGACTTTATTTTTTCCTTATAACCCCAATTATTTTGGTATCATAAGATGGAAAATGAGTTCTATATTGGCCAAGACATGCTTAGTTTTCCAGTTCTAAATATTCAATGTTATAAATAACTTTAGAAATAAATATATTTATTTACTATACTAATGCCTTTCCAAAAATTTTGTAAACCTCTATCTTCTTTTGTATATACTGATAATACCTCTGCTACGCTACTGGAATTTACAGCTGTGTGTAATGCTGAAGAATTGAAACTGTCTTGTTCATGGCTTACAGGACTAAGCATGGCAACTTTACTGGAAGCAAGGTATATACCCTACATACATTATATGACTCTTGCAAAAGCATGTATTGATATGTAAAAGTCAAGTAAGTGTGAATTATGATGCTTTCTTAGATGAAAAGAAGTCAATAAATGCTAATGCTTTAACAGTCACAGACATTTAGAATTAGAGGGATCTTAGAATGTAGCAATTAATTTTTATGAGAACATTTATGCATTTATTTTTGATATAAGTTCAAAATATTTTATTGAGTATAAAGTTAGTGGTGAGAAAATTTAGACTATTTTCATAAACATAGAAATTTCATATTAGGCTTCTTAATGTCAATTTGCATTTTAAAGCTGATCACCTAGTTTATTTCTGTTATTATTCAATACTAACAATAATACCTAGTACTTATTCTATGTGCTAAATAACGTGCTTGGTCTCCTGTGCCCAGAAGAAGCTGCTGGCTCCTAGCTTCAGACAGGCCCAGCTCTGTCCATTGAAGCTATTTGGTGAATGAATCAGTAGATAGAGTCAGTTTGTCTGTCTGTCTGTCTCTCTCATAATAATAATAATAAAATTAAAAAGTTGTATTCTATCTATTTGAATAGCAGAATGATAGGGAGGGAGGAAGGAAGAGAGATAAATTGATCATCCATCATCCATCCATCCTCAAATGGCTGCAACAGTTAGGCTGGGCCAGGCTGAAACCAGGAGCCAGAAACTCAATGATCTGGGTCACCCATGGGGTGACAGGAGCCAAAGTATTAAGTCATTTTCCACTGCTTTCCCAGTCACATTAGCAGGGAGCTGGAATAGAAGTGGAGCAGCTGGGAGCTGGAGGTAGTGGCTTACCACACTGTACCACAGCACTGATCTCATTTTCCTTAGAGATTTATTTAGTTGAAAGGAGGCTGGCAGAGAGAGGGAGAGACAGTGAGAACTAACAGATTCTTAATCATTTCCAGGGTTCAATGTAAAGAAAATTATTTGCAGTTTGGAGCTGACATTGTGGCTCAACATGTTCAGCCACTGCTTGTGATGCCAGCACCACATATACACGCCAATTAATTTGGTTATTTACTTGGCAGTAGGAAATATCTGCATATTTGGAAATTTTTGAATGGTATTAATTCATTTGGTTTTTATATCATATTTTAGGTCTTATAATGTTTTAAGTGATGATATTTTAAAGGCTTTTTCTGTGTTCTATCAATAATGTTAACACTTTGATTTTTCAGTGACCACAGTATTACCATTTAGGCAGCATATTAGGCAAGACATCTCAACAGAATAATTTCCCAATGAACTATACTATATTAGGATATTTTTAAATTAAAAAAATAGTATTTCTTGCAGAGCTTATAGATAAGTTATAATCAATATTGAAGATATTTACACTGTTTTATCACTTTGATTTAACTATTTGACAAACTAAATGATAATAATTGTATACTATTACAGCTTTTTTAAATTGAATGCATTTAATGATGAAATAATATATTTTAATTTCCTTACTCAAAGCCTCAAAGTATTTCATTATTTATCAAATTCAGGAAAGTGTAAAAATGAACTTCTATCATACCTAAAATATGGAAAAATTAGTGTGTAATAAAATGGAGCTTTTGGAAGTCTCACAGAAAAAATTGTAATTACATTGATCAAAATTTTCTCAGCCTTGTAAATTCTGGAAATCATTAGGTATTCTATACTGTTTCTACTTAATATTACCATACCTTAGAACTAATGGGATATATAACTGTTTTTTAAAAATAAAATTGAGGAACTGGCATTTGGTATAGCTACTTAAGCTACCACCTGCAGTGCCAGCATCCCATATGGATGCTGGTTTGTGTCCCAGCTGCTTCGCTTCTTATCCAGATCCCTGACAATGCATCTAGGAAGTAGCAGAAGATGACCTGAGTTCTTGGGACCCTGACACCCATGTGGCACCCAGGAGAAATTCCTGGCTCTTAGCTTAAGCCTGGCCCAGCCTTGGGTGTTACAGTCATTTAGGAAGTAAATCAGCAGATAGAAAATTCTCTGATAGAAAATTCTCTCTCTCTCTCTCTCTCTCTCTCCTTCTCCTTCTACCTCTGTAACTCTGCCTTTCAAATAAATAAATCTGTAAACCTAAGAAAACAAAAATAATTTTTGCAAGTTTTCTTAACTGGCATATTTAATTATAAAGATTCCAGCAATGGCTAGAAAAATCATTATACCATATCAAGTTGTGCCAAATATTAGCTATTTGGAAGCAGAAGATGTAGGTATCTTTTTGAAAGAAGAAATAAATATGGAACAAATTATTCAGAAACTGTTTTCTTTCTTTTTTCTGCTTTCTTTCCTCTTCTTCACCCAGCCTCCATCTCTGATGCTTGACAACATTTTATTGATGTTGGAAGAAGAAATGGGAAATTTCTTTTTTTTTTTTATTTTTTTTATTTTTTTTATTTTTGATAGGCAGAGTGGACAGAGAGAGAGACAGAGAGAGAAAGGTCTTCCTTTGCCGTTGGTTCACCCTCCAATGGCCGCCGCTGCAGCCGGCGCACCGCGCTGATCCGATGGCAGGAGCCAGGATCCAGGTGCTTTTTCCTGGTCTCCCATGGGGTGCAGGGCCCAAGCACCTGGGCCATCCTCCACTGCACTCCCTGGCCATAGCAGAGGGCTGGCCTGGAAGAGGGGCAACCGGGACAGAATCCGGCGCCCCGACCGGGACTAGAACCCGGTGTGCCGGCGCCGCAAGGTGGAGGATTAGCCTATTGAGCCACGGCGCCGGCTAGAAATGGGAAATTTCTAACAGAAGTCTGTACTTAATTTAATTAACTTTGGTATAACGCTAACTAAATATATAATTAATATTTTAAATTATAACAATTGTAAAATATAAAACTAAAAATAACTTACCTTAGGTTAAATGAAGTGGGATAAACAAGTGCATTTCCTCTAGCTACCTCCCCTATGCCTGTAGAGATTGATGTTAGGACATTTAAGAAGCCATATTGTGCTGGAGCAGAGAGAAGAGGAAAAGAATAAACAGAAGTCAGGAGATGTTAATAGTTCTGGGTATTGGGAGGAGCAGCAAGCCTAAGACAGAATTCTGTAACTAATTTAGAATTTGCAATCCAAATTTGTGAAGGCTATGGTGAGTACTTAGATTTAAGGGTCATAAACTCTTATTCCTTTTTTTTTTTGACAGGCAGAGTGGATAGTGAGAGAGAGAGAGAGAGAGAGAGAGAGAAAGGTCTTCCTTTGCCATTGGTTCACCCTCCAATGGCCACTGCGGCCAGCACGCTGCAGCTGGTGCACCGCGCTGATCCGATGGCAAGAGCCAGGTACTTATCCTGGTCTCCCATGGGGTGCAGGGCCCAAGAACTTGGGCCATCCTCCACTGCACTCCTTGGCCACAGCAGAGAGCTGGCCTGGAAGAGGAGCAACCGGGACAGAATCTGGCGCCCCGACCGGGACTAGAACCCGGTGTGCCGGCACTGCAAGGTGGAGGATTAGCCTAGTGAGCCACGGCGCCGGCAACTCTTATTCCTTTCAACAACCTTATTCAACAACATGATTGCTGATTCTTCATTCCAACAGAAGATTTAGAGATTTGCTCTCAGGAAAGAAAGACAAAGAAAGTCTTCACAGAGGACTGCACTATCAAAGATGAGACACTATTTTCAACAATTTCTCTCCAGAGAATTGGTTTCAATAGATGATGTGACCTATACTGACTGACATTTGGACATCTGTCAACAAAGGATCTCAGGTTCTACATAGTCCCCTACAGTGGGCTAGCCATATGACAATCCTGCATAGAATTTATAAACAGTTTTTTTGTGTGTGTGTTCACTTTTAACTGTTTACAGAATCTCTTTCTGCTTGGAAAATAACCTATTAAAGTGAAATTTGGGGCATTAATCTTATTTACTTTATCTAGTCAACCCTGCACTTCATTGAAAAGTGCTCTTGAGATCCAGAGGTGTTCTTTTTTAATAATCCCCTTCCTAGTATTTTCACCATTTGAAATGTATAAATATCCAACTATAATGAGATCATTTTCAGGTAGAATCACATAGTTGTGTTCCTTATAGATGTTTTATTTTCTCTTTCTGATTAATAGTACTTAATTCTGGAAATTAAGCTTTCTCTGAAATGCTTTCAAAATTGGCACCAAATATTTCTTGCTCAAGATCATAGTTCATAATAGTATGTGTGTAGATATTTGTAAAAGGTGAAAGATTAAATGATTGGAAGAGAAACCAGAGTATATGTGTGTAGATATTTGTAATATTTTACTATTCTAACTAGTTTCCTACTTGTTTGCTACTTTCATAGAAAAGTTAGGATTAGAAGAATAGTATCTGAGAAGCAGTGAATTTAATAAATTTGCTTCATGTCATATGCATAAATTTGATTGCATTGTACATTAATTTATATGGTTTCTGTTTTATCAAAATGCTGTATTCTATTTATTAAAATTTATAGTTATTCTCTTGTTTTATCTCTAATTCATTTTCAAAACATCACCTTATGTTTGCTTTTAGCTGAGGAACCTATGCTCAAGCATAAGAAAACAAAAACTTAAAGAGAATTCATATAAGCATTCAGATAGTTCTGTAGGTTATTTCCTTTCAGATATTTTTCATAGTCTACCATGTAAGGTTTAGTTGAAAGCGTTTTATCATGTATTTGCAGTTCTAATCCTTGATATCTCAATTCTTTATATGATTTATTTAACATGCCTAATTATTTCCATCTGCTGAGGCCACTGAACAAGAAAATAATCCTCTTGGAGGCTTCAAAAATTATAGTATATTATGATAAGTACTCCAACTAGTCTCAGATCAGGAAAGGCTTCTTAGAAGAAAGTGATATCTGGACTGGTCTTTAAGAATGAAATGAAATTCGCTAAGAAATAGATGAACACACTGTGCAAAGTGGACCATATAGTCCTATGCCTACGGACAGCAGAATGAAGTGCACAATTCATGTACATACAGTTCAGCATAGCTCAAGTCACATAGGTCTATGAAAATAGGGGATAGATTAGAAAGAGTAAGATATTAGAGTATCTTGTATGCCAACTCAGGAATTTGCATTTTACTCTAAATGCTATTGATGGAATTGTAAAGCAGTATGTGACTGGATAAGATTTACATTTTGAGAAAGAGTAATGCAGTGGCATTGAAGGTTGGAGATTGAAGGTGGGCAAATCATGCCAGAGATCCTGTGATTACTTTAAGTCCATGCAATAAACAAATCCTTAAAAATAAAAGTGATAAAAAAAGCTGTTCCCAATCTTTCATAAAAGATAGGATTTCATTCTTTTTTATTGCTGAATAGTATTCCATTGTGTATACATACAATAATTTGTTTATCCAGACATTGGTTAATTCCATAACTAAGCTATTGTGAATTGAGCAGAAATAAACTTAGTGGTACAGATAACTTTTTCCATATGCTGATTTCATTTCATTTGGATAAATTCCAATAAGTGGAATAGATGGGTCATATAGTAGATCTATTTTCAGATTCTGAGGAATCTCCATAGTGTCTTCCACAATGTCCATACTAGTTTATGTTCCCACAAATAGTGTATTAGGGAACATTTTCCCAACATCCTCACCATCATTTATGTTTTGTTGATTTCTATGTGATTTCCCTTCTAACTGCGGTGAAGAGAAACCTCATTATGGTTTTCAATTCACATTTCCATGATGACTAGTGATTCTGAGCATTTTTTCATGTATTTGTTGGCCATTTGAATTTCCTCTTTTGCAAAAAGCCTGTTCAAGTCCTTTGCACATTTCTTAACTGATTTCTTTGTTTTGTTGTTGAGTTACTTAAAATTATGATGATTCCAGGCACATAGAAGGAGTTGGGGAGGACTCCCTCCCTTTCAGTTCTTTTAAATAGTTTGAGAAGAATAGAATTAGTTCTTGGCACCATGGCTCACTAGGTAATCCTCCGCCTGCAGCACCGGCATCCCATGTGGGCACCGAGTTCTAGTCCCAGTTGCTCCTCTTCCAGTCCAGCTCTCTGCTGTGGCCCGGGAAGGCAGTGGAGGCTGGCCAAAGTGTTTGGGTCCCTGCAACCACATGGGAGACCAGGAGGAAGCTCCAGGCTCCTGGCTTCAGATTGGCACAATGCCAGCCATATTGGACATTTGGGGGGTGAACCAATGGAAGGAAGACTTTTCTCTCTGTCTCTCTCTCACTGTCTATAACTCTATCTGTCAAATAAAAAAAGTTAAAAAAAAGAAAAAAAGAATAGAATTAGTTCTTTAGAAGTCTGGTAGAATTGAACAGTGAAGTTATTTGGTGCTGGGCTTTTCTTGTTGGGAGGATCTTTATTACTGATTCAGTCTTCATCTTGGTTATTGGTCTGGTTAGATTTTCTGTCTTTAATTCTCAGTTTGGGTAGATGGTATGTTTCCAGACAGCTATCCATCTCTTCTAGATTTTCCAGTTTGTTGGCATATTTTATATTAGTCATTTTTTTATAATTATTTGACAGGTAGAGTTATAGACAGCGAGAGAGAAAGACAGAAAGAAAGGTCTTCCATCCATTGGTTCACTCCCCAAATGGCCACTACGGCCAGCGCTGTGCCAATCCAAAGCCAGGAGCCTCCTCCCAGTCTCCCATGTGGGCACTGGGGCCCAAGCACTTGGATCATTCTCCACTGCCCTCCTGGGCCACAGCAGAGAGCTGGACAGGAAGAGGAGAAACCAGGACTAGAACCCCGTGCCCATGTGGGATGCTGGTGCTGCAGGCAGAGGATCAACCAAGTGAGCCATGGCACTGGCCCCCATGTTAGTCATTACTGTGGACTCTCTTATGGAACTATTGGCATCTGACTGAAAGAACCTACACAAGAATAAATGATGTAAAATATTGTGACACTATATACACCTTTTTAAAAAAAATATTGATTTGAAAAGCAGATTTGTAGAGAGGAGAGACAGAGATAGACACAGAGAGATATTCCATTCAGTGGTTCAATCCTCAAATTACTACAATGGCCAGGTTTCAGACAGGCTGAAGCAAGGAGCCATGAGTTTGTCTTGGGTCTCCCATATGGGTGGCAGGGGCTGAAGCACTTGAGGCATCATTTCCAAGTACATTAGTAGGGAGCTGGATTGGAACTGGAACAGGCAGAACACAAACAGGCTGCTATATGGTATGCCAACATGTCAGATGGCCCTTTAAGCCATTATGGCACAATGTCAGCCTCACTATATACAAATATTAAATAAAATTTATTTATGGAGCAATTACTGAAATATGTTTTATGAAAATCCAGTTGTACCCTAGATAAAAGTTGGTAATGTAAAATGATTTGGTCATAATTTTAAAATCTACATAGTCTCTTTCCTCCACAGTATTTTTAGTTGGAGTAAGAGAACCTGGAATGACTGAATTTTTTTCTTATCTAGCAAAATTGACATTAAACTATAAGGTTTCTGATCTGGTCAGCTCTTGCATTGCATTTTGTAGATATCCCTTAACATTCTGTGACATAATTGTTCACCTGTAAAAGAGAAAATGTCTAACTTGAGAGACAGGGTAATAATGCATTTTTCCCTGCCCTAGCACATCTGTTTGATATATTGGAACTATTAGAAATCCATGAAACAATAGAAATATTCTCTTCCTTCTTAGAACCTTCTAAATTTCAAGATTTTTTTTAATCTAGGTAGAAGTTTGGGATAATTCTTATTCACACAGGTTGGTATAGGAGATAATTGAGATTTAAAGGAAGATTGAAGGCATATGGTAATTATCTTGCAATAATAAAAGGAATTATCCTGACCTTGAAAATATCATTCTAATAACTTCCTTGGTCTATTATAATAGCTTTAGCTTTAAGTTCTCTGTTGATGTGCTAGTATTATTTGATTTTATTCAAAGTACTTTAATTATATACACAGTAAATTAAATGACTTATAGCTAGGTTCCATTTTATTTTATACTAAAGTCATGGACATTGGTTTTCAAATTATTGCTTCATATCTTAATTATACAACTTTTATTCATGATATCCTTGTTTACTATTTGGGTAAATAGAAATGTAAAATACGAACTTCTTTTAAATTATTTTGAAGCTCACAGTGGTCAACTTATAGTCAATGATTTGGGCTTGAGAACTGATTAAGACACAAAACTACAGAAGAACATGAATTGAGAATGCTCGATGATTTCATTTTTGAAGATTCTATTCTTACTACAATATAACTACTAACTAGTACATACCAATTATCTGTTAGCTACCAAAAAGTTGGCCTGTTATTGCAAATTATTTTGATATTATTTCCTACAGGGAAAGTTAAGCCACATGTTGCTAACACATCTCCTGTATATTCTAGTGAAAATTTAAAACTGTAGGGAATCATCAGCACTTAAAATAATCTGCACCTTAGCTCATTCTCAGTACCACAATTGATAAAACAACCTTTTCCAGTTGGATTACAGAATCATTTTAGGTAGAATTTCCATTTTGTTTTGTATCATTTAGCCTGAGAAATATTTATTAAGTGAAATGTTTAATGATACACATTTGAAAATATATTAATATGCTCATGGATTTATTTTTAAAGATTTAATTATCTGAAAGGCATAGTAAGAGAGAAAGGCAGAGGAAGAGACAGAGAAAGAAATCATCCACCTGTTTCACTCCTGAGATGACCACAATGGCAGGGCTGGGCCACTCCAAAGTCAGGAGCTAGGAACCCCATCTAGCATACACACACGTACACAGAGACTTCAGCTGTAGTTTGTAACAGGTGAAAAACAATTCTATTATCATCTGGACCATTTGTATTATGCTATATTGTACACAGTTGAAACGAAGATTATGATTTTCTAGTTTGTGCTGTTTCATGGCACAAATGTAGTTCAAAAATACATCTCAAATTTTTTGCCTTTCTAATAAAAAATAGAACTTAATTTCTGGGTACATATAGCAAATTTGAATTCCTAATAGAATATATTTTAAAGGCTTTTATTTAATTATGTATTTATTGGAAAGACACACAGACATACACAGAGAAATAGTGACAGGGAGATATATAATTCACCTGCTACAATTTTGAAATGCCTGTGGGCTGGCTGAGGCCAAAGACAGGAGTCCGAGCCCAATCTGCTTCTGCCATGTTGGTGGCAGGAACTCAAGTAGTTCATTCACTATCTGCTGCCTGTCAGGGTGTGTGTCA